TGAAGCAGAATGAAGTGTTGAACAGAGTCGTGTAAAGTAAAAATTCTCCGTCAGCTACATAAAAGTAAGAACACCTGTCGTCGATGAAACGCCCCTCCTGACTGCAGAACGTCTCATTATATGTGTTATAATGTTTTTTAACGGACGTTGTTACATTATATAATCATATGTGCGGGCCGCTAGTTTCTGTTGATCTCCAGATTAACAGCAGCATGAGAATAACCTGCCGAAAGTGCCGCTGCTCCATGGCGGAGGCTCCGGTAGAAATTGCCGGGATTTGCGTTTTTACCCCCTTGATGTCTGACCAATGGTTGAACAGCATTTCCGTGCACATGACTTGTGTTTAAAATGTATAGTCCGTTTGAGTTTTGCCCGTGTGGACGCAAACCGAACCTTCTGAAAAATGAAACTATGTAACTGTCGTCAGGTGCACACCAGAAAACAGACTATTAGGTGTGAATGCACCCTTAATCATCATTCATTTGATGTTATGTGAATACGTCAAGAGGGAACTGGAGATCAGTATGGAGATCTACAGAAATATTTTAGGTGTGTTGTTGCTATTTAAAAGCGCTTTACAAATACAATTCATTACATGGAAAATAAATAAGATGTATTATTATTATTATTATTATTATATCAAAGAGTAAGTTGATTAATATGTGTGCTTAGACAACATTGTTTTAGTTAAAGTATTAACTTTTTTAATCTGCTTTCTTCCACTTTTCTTGGCAAGGCAATTTATCAAGTTAATTAAATGTTTTGCTCTTGCATGGTAAATTAAATGTCTATATCTAGAAAATTAAATCATTACAACACGCACTAAAAGGTTAATTTCAGCCAAAGTAATGATTGCTAAGGGTCTCTTATGTTATGATCTGAAAAGAAACAGCTATCTTTGCAGTCCAACCATTTCCACTACATGCATGAGTGTGTTTTTAATACATACAGGGATGCAAACTCATCAGGTATGAAAAAGGTGACTAGACATTGCGGCAAAATGCTGAAAAAGCGAAATAGTGAAAGTTCTAAAAAGCCCAGTATTCAGCACATACTGCAATGTTTTGGGTTTTTTTATCCATCAGGACGGGATGGTAAACAACGATAATTCATACTCTGTGAATGCTGGGTGCAAATGCTTGACTGCGGTCAGCTAAATCAGTCTAGCGCTCAGTCACATTTCCAGCATGCCTGTAGCTCTGACCCTTAGTTATGACAGTGCTGAGAGTGGATGTGTGTGATTTGTGTACTGGGGACTGATCCTGTTGACCTAGGGAATTACACACACTGAGAAATCAATATCGCAGGGATGTCTAGTCAGGAACTGAAGAGCAGGTGGAAGTGAGACAGACGAGTCACATGACTTCCACGGACCAATCAGAGGCTGAGAGAGAGGGGTAAAGGGCAGATGAGAAATTCTGAGCTGGACTTGTGATGTGTCACCACAGTGATAAAGAACAATTCTGTTAGGTGGAAAGTCTGTGTCAAGAGTATTCGATTTAGAAATGGGCAATATTAGGGGAAATCAAATATTATTATGTTTCTGATCAAATACTTTGATCTCAATATCCAAAATATGTACACAATGTATTGTTTGATAGGTAATAGGTCTGCAAATTTGAAAATTAAAACTAATTCTGATATCTTGACTGATATTGCAATTACAAGCAGGGATTGATCATGTTTGCAGGATTATTCTCCTATTAATTTATAAACATATTAAAATGATCATGATGTGATATTTTTAAGAGGCTCTGTACCAAGAAACATGTTTTGTTACGTCAGTAGAATAAGATTTGTAGGCCTTGATATATCTTCAGCTCCACAATACTGTCGTGTCAATACTGTTAAGGGGCTGGAGACCAATATGAAAACAGCTTGATAAGTTCAGAACATGCAGCACTTTCCTCTAATGCGGCCTTTAAAACCAGGAAAGGTCACTTAAAATATTACAATATGCTAAATGGACTGCATTTATAAAGTGCTTTATCCAGTCTTTACGACTCCTCAAAGCACTTTACACCTTTTAACTTCAATTTCTGATTATATAAATATGGATTTATTTTAATTTTAATATGGTGCAACTGTCAATCAATCAAAGTTTATATATATAGCCCAATGTCACACATTTTACATTTGTCTCGGGGGCTTTACAGTTTATACAGACTGACACAAAATCTAATTTCCCCCTGGGATTATAAAGTATTTTTGATTGATACACAAGTCATCATTCACCCATTCACACAAAGGCAGGGGCTGCAATACAACGTGCATCTGCTCAAGGAAGCTAACATTTACACACAGTTTGCTATCGGGGGCAACTTGGGGTCAAGTATCTCGCCCAAGGACACATCAACATGTTGACTGGCATCAAACACACAACTTTCAGATTGGAAGACAACTACACTACCTGAATCCAAGACGATATTTAGTTTCAAAGTTACGATATCAACATAATATTGATATATTGCGTATAATCAATGTTGGAATTCCTGCCAATGTGTCTGTGTTGTTGTGTGTCTTTGTCACCTTGGTTAACAACAGGACTCTCTTCTGGAGTCTCCGGACGAGACTGTCCTGCGTCTCCCTCTTCTTCTGCTCCTCCAGAGTCTTGCTGCGCTGCTGGCCCAGCCCGACTCGATGCTCATTCTGCGAGCGCTCTGCACTCCTCACACTGATGGACCGGGAGAAAAGAAAGGGTGGAGAGCAAAAGAGTGTGTGTGTGGGTTAATAACATGTTTAGTGCTGATGTTCCCACAATCTGGGGAAATTATTTCTGAGGCCATTTAGAATAATACTCCTAACAGATAACTTACCTGACCGACACCAAATAATTCCCTGACTGTCCTGGAAATCATTAGCAGCAGCAACTTGTGCCAAGTCTGATCAATAGGGAAATAATTATACCAGGACAATAATTATAGCACAAGCTCCCCTCATCCCCTCCCACTCTGCCGTTTCTAATATTACATAATAATCCCAACACACTCGGCAGAAGAGGGACGCTTGTTAGCTAATGAAAGCTTTCTTAGCCGGACTGCTGCATCAATATAAACGGGAGCATGCGCGCGGCCCTCCCCATAGACATCACCTCTGCCTAAACAGGACGAGTTTAATTAGCAAACTCCCTCTCTCTCTCACACAATCTCTCTCACACACACACTCACACACACCAGTGGTTACGGTCAGGAGCGCTATCAGAATCAGGACCGGTTTAATTAACTTTGTGACAATTAAGGACTTCTCAGAGATACGCTCTAATAGATACATGGGGGAAGGGAAGAATTCAGGCAGACGAAATGAGAGGAAAAAGTCTGAAGGCAGGGAGAGGGATTTTGTGAGTGTGTGTGAAGGAGGGTGTGTTACCGGCTGCTGAGAGTGTAGTTCTGCTCTTTCAGAGCAATTTCTCTCTGCTGGATGTGAATCACCTCCCTGGACAGATCCTCTGGTTTCCTACAAACAGACACAGACGGGAAAGTTATCATACACATGTGTACACACACACTCACACACAATGACAAATCAATGTGACTGAGAGAGCAGAAAGGACAGAATGGATGACAACGACAGCGTTTCCATATTCTTTTGTTACTCAGCCAGTGGGGAGGTGGGAAATAAAATGACATGAGCAGCAGAGGGAGAGATGAGAGTGGGCTAAATACTGGTCACACTTCCACAAAACAAACTCACTCCGTGGGAGAGATTGACAGATTAGAAAACACAAACACACAATGGGAACTCAACAATACAGAAGGTCACATCCTGCAACAGAGATGACCTTCAAACTCTAAATCCTGGCTCTAACTATGGATCTGTGCAAAAAGTGAAGGCCATTATCTCTTTATCTCTTTTGAAATGGGAATGCATTATAGCAGCTTAGCTCAGAATCGTACTTTAGCCGCCACTCAATTGCACACCTGTAAAAAAGTGTTCCAGCTTATTATTCTGGGCCTCATGAGATGGGGTGTCCGTAAAGGGCTGAAGCCGGGATGGGAGGGTTACTTTCAAAATGTATTCCGTTACAATGAACAAGTACTTGCACTAAAGAGAAATGTTTTTCCCTTTTCTCTTTTCAAAACAGCTACATTTCCACATAGAGAAAGTAAACTCTGAACTAAGTCCAAACGATAAATTGGATGATTATGGTTTTACTTGAAAATGTTTTGAGACTTGTGAAGTGTTGTGATAAGTGAATGTGGTTCAAAATATATTGTTATTTGTTTTTAACTGGATTTTAATGTTTTAATCCTGCTAGTAAAAGGGACACTTGTATATGGTTTTTTGTATTTTCCCTTTGCTGTAGTGTGTTATATAAGTTTTTGTGCATGTCAATGGTCTGCAAAGACTAAAATCTTGTTAGGCGCATTCACACCGCAGTACTTTTCCCACAAAGGTTCATCAGAACTTAGTTCATGAGAACTCTTTAGTTCCTCTGAGAACTCTTTAGTTCTCATGAACTAAGTACAGATCGCGTTCACACCGGAATAAGTCCCTGGGGGTGGATTAGGCTAATGAAGCCACTGACGTCACTTCTTCTGCTTTGGGTTTACTGGCAGGCCGCAAACAACTTCACGGCGTATACTGCCACCCGAAGTCCCCGGGGTTGTTGTGGACTGGCTCCAGTAGAAGCTGCTGGGACTCCCAGCAGCTTCTACTGAAGCCTTCCGAGTAAATCACCAGAACGCCGACACCTCCTCATCTCCACCGCTCCCATGTTTTCTTTTGTGTTGCCATAAGTTAGTCTCTCTGCGTTTCTGCGCTGGGCTAATGCTAATAATGCTAATGCGAGGATAATAAAATGGCGGCTTGGGAGTTTTACGGGGCGTGGTTTGAAATCCGCCCAGCCAATCAGACATAGGAACCTTTTTCTCCCACGAAAGTACCTGCTCTCTAGCAGGGACTGAAAAGGGGGTAAAAAGGTTCTCATGGACTCATTTTAGTTCCGGCTCTGTTTGGTGTGAACGCGACATTTCGGAACTATATTGGAACTAAAGTGGGAAAAGTACTGCGGTGTGAACGCGCCTTTTGTTCCCTCCAGAGGGAGTTTATCTCGCACACACTCCCTCCCTGCCTGAATCCCCTCCATTGGACTCCTTTGTTTACTTCCATAACATAATGACATCACTATTTAACAAACGCCCTTATATTGGCAAGCGCTCTAACACATTATATGTGATAGGCGGGACATCTCTAGGCAGGACATCTCTAAGCGGTTGACCAATCACAACAGAGCCGGCCAGCTGACCAATCAGAGCAGACTGGGCTCTGGTTGTGAACATGTCACAGTAGAGACACACAATACAAACATGAACCTGAACATTAGCATAACAACCAAAATCAAGCCTGTCGTCAAACTTTAGGTTTTACTCGGTACTCTCAGTAACAGCCTGAGACCTGGAAACGCGGTAAATAGTGTATATATATTTATGGAAGGAAAAGGCGGGAGTTATTATTAAAGCTGAAAAACCAGAGTATGCAATGTGAAAGTTGGGTGGCGTGGACTTATGACCACATCCAATTCCACAAGGTGGAGCCTTAGGTATGAAAATAATCTCATGACTAAAATATGAGTTCATGAATCATTTGATGGAATAACTACGGTTCCCAAAGTAGGTAATTCCACACTGCCCTGAGCAGAGAGGGATTAGTTTCCCCTGATCTCATGAGAAAAGCTTTTTTAAAGTGTTCTGCTGGCTTTTTGGGAATTTTTGTGGCAGGTCACAAGCGGGCCATGTTGCAAATAACAGGTTGGTTGCATATTATTGAGTGAGATGTTGTGAACTACTATGAGGTAACTGTGAGTAAATGCACTGTCAGAGCAGTGCCAGTCAACTGGGAGTCTAGGTTTGAGCAAATATTTCCGTAGGAAGTGATTCGAGACCTACAAAAATATAACGTTTTCGAAATAATTGGGGGTAAGAGAAGCCGCTGCAATGATGAAATCCAAATCTCCGGAGAGGATGGAATGACACTTTGAGATTCAAATTTAAAGCCATCCACAAGTGATCCTCAACTTACATCTTATCCTTACACTGTAACATATTTATAGAATCACAACTCCAAAATCCATCAGACGACACTTGGATCAGCGTAGTTGGGGAAAAAGGCAACGAAGAATGTGAACAGTTATTTAAATAAGTACCATACAAAGAGATCTGAGCAGCAAAGTCTTCACAAAATGTTATTCAGACAATTAAACTCTGCTCAGCACATTCCTAACACACAGGAATGGATCTAAGTATAATTGTCCTTATTTATTACTGGTTTTGATTTTTAATTGAATTTGATTGACTCATTGATCTATTATTGCCAGTTCATCACAGCGCTGAAAAAAAAAAAAAAACGGTTTCAGACTCACATCACACCTACGACAAGTCATTTAGATTCAACAATGAACCTGTATGTGTTTACAACAATGCTAACCAATAAACCACCGTGTCCCCCCATTGTCTGTTCAAAATTGTTTATTTCTATCTCCCCAAACACTTGAAAAGCAAATCATTTGGTTTACAAGTCAAATATTCTGTTTATAATGAAGATTTATGTCGTAAATCCTCTCATTTTAGAAGTTGGCATCAGTTTTGTTCGGCCTTTCTGCTTAAAAAATAACGTTATTGAGTCTTTTATTATCAAAATTGCTTCAAAAATAATGCTCTATTGTGTTATGGGAAATAAATAACCTCAAACAGAAACTCAAACTGATTGATCTTTTAGTAGCATGCCAAATTCTGCTAAACTGAGTAAAATCCGGTGTTTTCGGCTAAATGAAAGACAACGTTTTTAATTGAGGAACTTGGGAGTAGGTTAGGAGATAAAAAAAAAAAAGATAAGACAGAATCCATTATGTGGGAAACACAATAATGAAGGTGGGTAGGCTCACAAACACACACATTAGTTAGGCTCACAAACACACACATTAGTTAGATTCACAAACACACACAAGAACAACTCAAACTGAATTTCTAATCTATTTCTTTGTTATTGACACAAATACACCAAACCGTCTGAAACTAAATGGATTTCCGGAAAACCAAACCATTTATTTCCATGGTCTATCCCTTCGATGCAGTTCCATGCAACATATTTTCCTGTCAATCTACACTCAATTGTCAACACCGAAGCAGGCACAAGTCATCAGATTGTGAAACAACAGCAGCAACCTGCCAACTGCTGGCGACTCTGTCTGTGAGGCTCGTCTCCTCCTCCAGAGACACAGGCATCGTGGTTGGCAAGGGTTATCTCCGGCTCGAAAGTGAACTGAAACTGCACAAATGGCTGGTAAGAAATTCAATCCTGTGTTGCAGTGGGATAACTCCTCATTTACAACACCAATGGGTTTACTTCCCATTAGCTGCTTCACAACACACTCTTTTCACTCCACTAATGACCACCCTGAAATATCTGGTGACAAAAAGAGTGCCACTATGGAAACAGAAACAACATATCTGAAATGTGTATGAGAAATGATTCGGAGCCTAGCAAAATGAACAATTAGCAAAACACAGCCGCCTTCATGAGATATTTCACGGAAAGCTCAATGGAAAAGTCAACACTTACGTCATCAATGTACTGCAGGAATCCTGAAGTCAAATGTAAAACCTTTTAAAACCTTTTTTGAGACCCTTTCCATACATTTTAAGACCTCATCGCCACTTTGAGTTCTAACCGGTTACCTTGGCGACACACTTTACCTCACATTGACTATATACAGTACTGATTGTCCTTCCTCCTTATCTTACAACCATTTGGACGCAAACTTGCATTTCCCCATAACGATGTTGTTTAACAACCGGCGTAAGCGGACCTTCGCGCGCTATCAAGCAGTGAGCGTGTGATGTCCTGTTCAGATGACGTCAAATCCAACGGGATGCCATAAATAAACTACACAGAATCACACTACACACCTACGCAATGATTACATTCAGGCAGACTGTAGAATACAACCTCTTTGGAAAATTTATGTACTTATTGAAAACAAGCTACAAAATGTAACACCTTGGAAAATGAAACCATCTTTGTTATTTTCCAGCAATTAGATGAAACAGCTCCTTATTCCAACATAAAAACGTGTAGAAACGAGTCAAATGTGACGTACCTAAGATATTTACATACATTAACATAATGATATAATCACTGCCTAACAGCCTATAGGGCACCATATGCCACTAATGCACAAATCAGAGTCAATACTCATTTTCAGTCGGCGCGGGTGAAGTAAACAGACTGCTGAATTAAACGCTCCTGTTTTCCATTCGCCTCGACATCACAGGACTGCGCTGGAAAAACAACATCCTGACAATTAAGTCGGCCATTTAGTAAACGGTAAAACAGCTTGAAGGAGTTACTAACTGTTGATTTGCAAGCTGCATTAACCTTTACTTTTGATCAGCATGAGGCTCAGACATATGGCTGCCCTTTAGAAGCTCGATGTGCAGCGCAGTTTATTTGGGGGGTCTACTTTCAGCAGAAGCACTTAGGCAGCCAATGACACGGCAGTCTGAACACCTGATTTTTTTTTTCGGAGGGTTTCACATTTTCAACTCAATTTACCCAGGGAGAGCCTCAGATTTTCAGAAAAATGACTGACAGCCCAACCAAATGACTGTGTGTATTACATTGAGAGTTTGGTATTACATTGCTGTGATCAAACAAGGTCATTTAATAAATATGAGTGGGATGTGCCTAATGCACCATGTCCTATATCCCATTACATAAGACAAACATGAACCCTTACATGAGGGAAGACTTCATTTCATTTTGATTTTTTTTCACATTTGTTTTCCTGCCCTGGATGTTATTGAAATCACAATATGGACTTTTCCAATATCTAAATCACTGGAAGCACAATAAAAGTTGAGCTTTGTGTTTAAATAACATTTTGAATGTATTGTGCAGCCGCAGAGATTTAGCCTGGCTAACAAATTGTATACTACAGACTTTAACAAAACATACGTTAGGTACATCATTATTATTTTTAATCTATTTTCTAATAATAAGAATGTATGATTCATAGATGACAAACCTTCCATTAAGGTGAATCATAACACAGATGCAAAATCAGTCGAATCAATCGCAATGAGTCGTTTGGTCTAAACCCTGCAGCCTGTTTAATGCGCATGTAGACGCACTCTAACACACAGTGGAAAACCAACCAAGTGTGCTAAGTGCATGTATCCTATTCAACATTCTGTGTACATCACAGCCTGAGTTAATCAAAGAGAAAATGGGGTGTGTGCGTGTGTGTGTGTGTGTGTGTGTGTGTGTGTCAATCTGTCAGATGTGCTCTACTGCTCACAAGGAAACATGCAATCATTCTCTCATTACTAGTTGTGACTGGATACATTGAGACACTCTGCACACATACACAAGCAGGTATAAAACAAACACACCTATACACACTGGTGGAATGAATCCACAGTGATGAGGCACATTTATTTGGAGGGAACACACCTCCATCTAGTGGTATCTATTTATATTGCACACACACACCTTATGTTGAGTCCAGTCGATTGTCCGAGGTTTTCCCAGGCTTTGAGCTTCTCCGCTAACCTCTGAGGATTAAAGACAGAATTGATCACATGTATGTCCAGTAAAAGAAAGTCAATTATATCTTTACAATGACAGCTGTCAAATGCAAGATTAAAAAAGATATACCACCTATAAACAACATAATACATTAAAATTATCAAATATTTAAATCCCGATTAATCGCATGATTGTCCATAGTTAATCGCACATTTTTGATCTGTTCTAAATGCACCTTAGAGGAATACTTTTCAAGTTTTTAATACTCTTATCAACATATGAGTGGACAAATATGCTTTATGCAAATATTTGTTTATTATCATTTGAACAATGACAAATATTCTCATGAATATTAAACACAACAACCTCTGAACAAAATGTGCCTCAATTCAACCTGGAACCTCTCTCATACAATACAGTGTGTGCGTGTGTGTGGGCGAAATGCCGCTCTTCTGTTTTCATAACTGTCAAGCATGAGACTGTGGGTCTCATGCTCCCACTGCGGGTCAACATAATGTGCTGTGACCCCGAGGTAACTCATTACTGAGTGAAGTCCAATAGTCTCCGGTGAGCGCAACTGTGGAAGTCTTTCTTAAATCCTCCTCTACTTTCGCTTTTTGGACTTCATACAAGTTGTGTATATTCGACACAGTGGGGGCTCTGGAAGGCAATTCCTAAGTGCAGCCGTTGGATGCGACCCGAATTATATCATGCAGCCGCTCGTCCTCCACAATGTTAATTGCACCCATTTAGCGATCTTTGTTGAAGGTTTGCTGCTCGTAGACGTGTCCAGGCGTCTCCCCCGCACACTTTCAAGTGTGGTCTGCTGCAAGCGGGCGGCAGGAGCGGGGCTGTCGGCATCAGCAGTGTGCTTGGATGTATAGACGGTATTTTAAACTCGATGCGCTGTGTAACTACGGGGCGGCCGAGGACAAAAAATGCACATGCGTTAATCGCGTTAAAATAATTTGTGGCGTTCATTTTTTTGTTAACGCAAAACTTGACAGCCCTAATTAAAATGTAAAAAGGAATTGATGTAAAATAAAAAAATATTAAAACAAAATTTCTTTCATTCAAACCAAAAGAAGTACAAAAAATATGCAAAAGAGTTATCCATCACATAATAATATTGTGTATTTAAAACATTTTCAAAAAATAAATCTGTATTGCCCATGTATTGCTTAAAACGATTTGTTCCCCAGGTTGAATCAATCCCCAGTACATGGGGTTCTAGCAGGTGAGATATCCAGTCCAATTACTCAGCCAGTAATGTTTTGATTCCATGTTTAGAATAGTGTAATATGAAAATGAAATGCTAGAAAGAGAAATGCCAAATACAAAGTGAGTTTACCTCCTTCTCTAGTTCGATATTGACCAGCTCCTCCT